AATACACTTTTTTTAGTGAGCATATCAGAAGACATAAATAGCAGTTTGGAGTTGAAATAATTTACTGGCTTTTTTCCAGATTCTGATACACTCATTTTGACTCCAAACTGTCTTTCAATCTTGCAATACACTCATTTCAACTCCAAACTACTTTTTCCGTGTTCTGATACACTCATTTCAACTCTGAAATGCTTTTTCCATCTTCCAATACACTCATTTCAACTCCAAACTTCTTTTTCCGTCTTCTAATACTCTCATGTTGACTTGAAAATTGTTCTTCATGACCTGTCATACCAGTCTGCAGTTGTAGGTGCTGGATTTGTAGCCCCTACATATGCAAGACTACATGTAGGCACCTATTTGAGCTGAAAATTGAATGTAGGTGTAACCAAATGACACCTACATGGGTTTTTTAACATGTAGGTGTCATTTTGGGTGGTTTCCAGCGCCTACATCATAAATGTAGGCGCTTTTTTGTGGGAAACACTCATGTAGGCCAAACTTAACTAAGTCCCTTGCGAGCTGTACTGGCCAGCTCAAACAAGGGACTTACAAGTAATCTCAAAAATCTCGTGTGAGATCAACACACTGCAAATATAATGCATTTTTCTGAGGTGAGAAATGATTACATTTATTTCACAAAATGATTAAAAATGCATTGATTCTGCATTAATTCTGCATTTTTCTGCATTGATTCTGCATTATTAATCATTTTGCGCATTGATGTCAATCATTTTTCACCTTGGAAAAATACATTATTTTCGCAGTGACACCGGGTAAGCAACGCCAATGGTTTCTGTTACATGGTGTTGTGTTGCGGTTTTTAGGGCCCGCAGCGCTGCTGTGCAGTGTAGCACCAGGGCTTTAAACCCCGCACTCCGGGCAAAGCGGCAACACTACATATGTAGTGTCATGCGCGCGCTTTGGACTGGGGCCAGAGCTTCACATGAAGTGCTGACAGCTGTCACATGAAGCGTTGCCAGTAGCTGCGCGTGAACTGTCTGAAGCGTTGTCAGTAGCAGATTGTGAACTCACTGAAGCATCACTAGCTGCGGCATGCCAACTGCCTGTAGCATCACCAGGTGCCGCACACCAATGTTTTTCAACTAACTCCCACACCAATCTTCTTCAGCGCAAACTACTCATAACAACTCCGTCTTACTTTGTTCAACCAGCTTTTCAATACAAGACCTAAATGCAATCACGCAAGGACTTGGACTTAGTCCTCTGTACTTGCTCTGAATGCATCAAATCAAAGCACACCAATTCATCTGTGAAGGAAGTCTCCAGCTTATGGGTTCATCCAGGAACCCAAAGGAACCATAGAAGACAAATGGCCGCCAAACCTGAACACACACCAATTCTTGAGGCGCTGGCTGACAAGTTCTATGCAAAGGCAAGCATAAAGGAACCCGAAGAAACCTCTTCCAATTCTGGGTCTGAATCTGATTACATTGCCAACCCAGAGGAGCCCACTGTATTCAAAGTAGTCTGTGAGTGGGCGATTTCAGCAGAACTTCTCATTTAGAGCTAATGAAAGAAACCCATTTTGTTTGCCAGATCTTATATTGTACTTTGTTGCTTGGTTATATTTAGAATGTCAAATGAGTCGAGATAACTGCAGGAAAGCACGAGATTACATTATGCGTATTGCTGAGATGTGTACACATGTTGACCTCCGCACTAATTGGGTCAGCTTGATTCCAAGAGATGTACAAACAATCACCTCTTGCCTTCATCTCAAAGCATCCCTTGAGCAATACATATGCTGCCCAAATTGCTACACTCTCTACGAGCCAGAAGTTGCCCCAAACAAATGTGGATATCAAGAAGTACCAACAAGTCCAGTTTGTGGTTCAGAGCTCTTTTTCACGCACTCTATACCCAAACTTCCATCAATCATCCAACTGTCTGAAAAACGTGCTAGTGCTGCCAACAAACCACAATTCAGTAAACCTCTCTCGACTTTCATCCTCCAAGACCTACAGGAATGGTTAACTTGGTTCTTATCAATATCTTACATTGAAGATTCTATTGATGATTGGACCAGAAAATGTAGTTCTGTAAGAATTTAACTAAAAGACAACCTTTTAAAAGGTTTAAGAAAAACTTTCAGCTTTATGTGCTGACAAGGCACTGAGCTGAGTACGAGACACGAGCACGAAGCTCACACACCTTTTAAAAGGTTTAAGAAAAACTTTCAGCCTTACATGCTGACGAGGCACTGAGCTGAGGATGAGACATGAGCACGAAGCTCACACACCTAACAAAGATGAACATGTTTTCTATGGCTGGGGAATTTGATGGATTGAGGTCCAGCAGCCTGGGTAGTAAGTCATCACTTCATTTTTGGAGAAACACACTGTGACTAATGAATTGTCCGTCTGTTCCAGTTATGGCCCAACTGGTCTTGAGGTGATGTTCAAGGCATTGACCAAAATTTTTGCCTCTGAAGGGTCTAAGACTCCATTAGATGACATCAAATTAGCTCCCTTTTCCATTGATTACTTCCTATGTTGTGTGTTAGTGCCTGAACTAGCTTTATTGCTCATTGCTGAGGATTTGGACCTCCCAACCAGTGAGCCCAAGGTCATGAAGACGCTTGAATCTAGTTGAGTGTTTGGAACTGCGGTTTTCCCGAGTGACAAAGAATCCTTTGACCTGGTCAACAAAAGCCAACATTCTTCTCCACCACCGCAAGCGATCTTGAAGCAGCTTCCAGATTTTGTGGTCCCATATATTGACTCTAGCTTTGATCTGCCTGATTTGGGAAACTGTGAGTACTATGCTATAGCGGCGTCTATAGGGAAATACTCTGAGGAATTGTATCTGGATGTTAGAAGGCAATTACTCCATGAGGTTTCAAAACATTACAAGGATCACAAACAGTTAATCTACTCTACATCATCTGCACGCACAAGGAGGACCCCAACTTTTGGTGCCAAAGTAGTAAAAGATCTGCTCTTTTGACTTGATTATAAGGAAGTCAAATGCTCTCAAGAATACTGGATGCAAATGCCTTATCTTGGGTATGCCATTGCAAGTGCTTACAATTGTCCCACTATACTACTGGATCCAAAAAAGGGAAACGGTAATACTTTCTTCCCCTATTGTACCTTACCAGACAACTTGGAGCAGCAAGACCCAATTGTACTTGCTTTTGTCAATCAACAACACTTTGTCAGTTTGGTTGTAAAGGATTGGTTGCTGCCATTTCCGGGAGTGTTTGGAATGAAATGCAACACAGCTATGCTTGGAACCACCAAAATACCACTTTAGATCAAAGCTTATCAAGATCAATTGGATAGGTGGCCAAATCAGAAATCAGTTCTGGTGAAACAGGATGTGATTTGTGTTGAATGAATGAGATTTGATTCATTCTTTCCTGCCTTTTTGTTTCCTTGTCTTCTTTGTGTTTTTTTCTTTTTTTTCATGTCTGTCGTTTGTGACATCACTCTCATTTTAGTCTTCCAACTTGAAATTTCACATTCCATTTCTTTTTTGAAAGGTATGCAAAAGTGGTACATTTCTAAGTACATTTCTAAGACATGATTCTTTGGGCAATTGGGTATGTAAGGGATGAAGTACTCAAACAAAAAATTCAACACAGAGTGGTGAAATTGAATTCATATGAGTACAAACCTCAAAAAAGTGAAATTGGGTCCAAGGATGGTGGTGTGTGGGACGTCAGTGGGTGGTGAAGGTCAAGAACAGGAAAGGAAGTGTAAAGTTGAAAAGTTTTGTGAGTGCCTGGTTTGCCAAATTAAAAGCGGGCAACATTTGAGCATAACAGGCAACAAATTGCCAGGTATCCCCAGGTATCTGAGATTAGGGCATTGGGTCAAAAAAAAGTAGTCGTCAGATAGTAGTGTCCTTCTTTTTATTCTTTTCAGTCTTTTTTTCTAATTCCGTTCTTTTTAAATTTGTTCTTTCTTTTCATTCTTTTTCTCTTCTCAACCTTGCTTTACAGATTATCAAACTATCCCAAGAATCTCTCAAGTTTCATCTTGTCAAGCTTTTTGTGAATGGCGACATGCCAGCTACAATTGTTGATCGCAACAAATTCAACCAACTTCTCAAGCTTTGTAATTGAGACGTACCACCCATCCTTGTTGGATCCGATTGTGTGATGGAGGCTGTCAAGAGTCAGTTCTGTGTCTGTTGTACTCTTCTCAAGGATGTATTGGACAAGGCTCTAGCTATCAACATCACCTGTGATGAATGGCCATCACCAAATGATCATCCCATCTTAGGTATCACTGCTCACTGGATTGACAACCAATACAAGATGCAGGAATTTATCTTAGCTGTGCAAGATATTGATGGACCAAATTCAGGTGCAAACCTTGCAGTTTACTTTATGGAGTGTCTCATCAAATTTAACATCACCTGTGTGTACTGTAAAGCACCAAGTCTATTGGATGATACTGACACCTGTATCATCCTATGTCATTGGAAAAAGCCCCTTTAGAATTTCTTAGAAAGAAAGTTGATTCTAAGCTGGAATAAATATATTTCTAAGTCTCCTTTTCATAAGGGGGGGCCTTGCCCCCCACACGCATCATACACCTATCTCACTACCCAAACACATACTATTACTACTCAAGTAACAAAATTACTACCTAAGCCAACAAATCTTACCACTTTAGCCAAAAGTGCCAAAATCTTACCACTTCAAGTCACTTCTCACCACCTCAAATCATATTCTTACTACCCAAGTCAACATCTTACCACTGTAGTAAAATTCTCACTACTTACGCAACGTATCTTACTAGTAAACTCAAAATATCACTACTTCATCCGGCATCTTACTACCCAAGTCCCAACCTACCCCCGAGCTAACATCTTACTCTACGCGACCTCGAAATTTTACTACCGAAGATAAAACTTATGACTACCTCACTTTCAACCTAATCGCTATCATAACAAGTCCACAGCTAAACGAATTTTCACTACCTAACCTCTCCGCATTTACTACCTCACGCCCCATCTCACTACATCAGCTCTCTTCAACGTCAAATACTACTCTTCTTCTCTCTTTTCAATCATAACACCGAGCTCACAATACGGAAGAATGGATCACAACCCCGACGAGTACATATTCACAGGGGCCAAAATAGATACTCACATACATGTGAGCGTTGTAGACTTTTTGGAATTCTCCAAAAAAGATTCATTTTCTTTCAGATTGATTCAATTCACAATCTTGTTTGTGTTCAGGTGATCATCCTGTGGTTCTCATATTTTACTTGACATTTATTGAGAAGGCTCATTTCCATCTTGGATGAGCAATAACTGATTCCCGATGAGTACTCAGGATCAGCTCATGAGGCACTGAATACTCAGCAATTTGTTCAAAATGAAGATGAGCACATGAACTATACCTTCCTGAGGCTTCATTTTTCAGTGACGAAGCCTGCCCAGGGGCGTCCCATTTGAGCTGCTCAGCAAATACTCAGTAGCATCCCCTGACTGGATCACTGATGGGCCGGACTTTTCTCAGACTTCCTTGCTAAGGAATGAAGCCTGATAAAAGCGTCATCCTATCTGCTCATTGCTCAGCTAATCCTCAGTGATATCCCCAGATAAAGTTTTTCACACTGAGGGGCTGAGATCAACTGAGCAGCCCCTCAGCCAATACTCAGTGACATCCCTTGGATCCTTCTGATCCGGCCAGGAATGTCCCTGAGGACTAGCTGAGCAGGCCCTCATCCAATGAGCAGTGAAATCCTCCGGATCCTCCTGATCTCAGGGATGCCCCTGAGGAATAACTGAGCAGCCCCTCATGCAATGAGCAGTGAAATCCTCCGGATCCTCCTGATCTCAGGGATGCCCCTGAGGAATAACTGAGCAGCCCCTCATCCAATGAGCAGTGAAATCCTCCAGATCCTCCTGATCTCAGGGATGCCCCTGAGGAATAACTGAGCAGCTCAGTTGAACGAGCAGACGGGCCTCAGGCTTCATTCCGGAGCCATGAAGCTTGAGGCAAGCTTGGCGCTCTGTGATCCATCTGGGGAGCAGTGAAATCCTCCGGATCCTCCTGATCTCAGGGATGCCCCTGAGGAATAACTGAGCAGCCCCTCATGCAATGAGCAGTGAAATCCTCCGGATCCTCCTGATCTCAGGGATGCCCCTGAGGAATAACTGAGCAGCCCCTCATCCAATGAGCAGTGAAATCCTCCAGATCCTCCTGATCTCAGGGATGCCCCTGAGGAATAACTGAGCAGCTCAGTTGAACGAGCAGACGGGCCTCAGGCTTCATTCCGGAGCCATGAAGCTTGAGGCAAGCTTGGCGCTCTGTGATCCATCTGGGGGATACTTCAGAGACTTAGCTAAGGAAATACTCAGTTCAGCTCAGCCCCTAAGCTATACATTGGTGGCATCCCTTGGAACTTACTGAACCAGGGAATGCCGCTCAGGATCAGCTGAGCAGATGGATCAGCCCTTCCTCAGACTTCTTTGCTCAGAAATAAATGCTGAGGAAGGCTTAGTTTGTCTGCTCAGTTCCTGATGATCACGTAATCAGCTGACAAACAGAAAGAAAAGGGAAACAAATGGGAAACAAATGGGAAACAAATTGGAAACAAATGGGAAACGAATGGGAACAAAACAGGAAAATTTCAACGCTCACATAGTTGTGAGCATCAATTTTTGCCCCTGTGATTACCAGCACCCAATACCATCGAGATTTGTCACAAAGACCGAAGGAAGATGGACGACTATGTCTCAGCATTTCCAGCTACGCACCACGGCTACCGCATTCGAATTGGCAAATCTCAAAAGAAAAGCAGTCCTGTCGCACACTACGATTGTTATCGTGGAGGCTATCCCTCACTCGGATCTACTGAGGCAGGAACAACCAAATCTGCGCGTATTGGTTGTCCCTTCAAGCTCAGCACCCGATACCTATACGACTCTGCATCGTGGATTCTGACTCATACCCACCTTGGTCACAATCACCCCCCCGACCCCAATGTAAAACCTCGCAAGAAGTACAAGGACCCCAAGGACCTCCCCATCCTCGCACCAGGGGTCGTCCTGGATGAAATCGACAATGGGTCAGCGGCCAACCCCGAAGAACCTCTAGACTTCAATCACCCCATCACCAATGATGCGATTGCGTTACCTGAAACACCCATCCTCACCTCTCCTGCACAGACGTACGACGACATCAAAGAGGACCTCAATACACTGGACTCAATTGAAGCCACGGTCTCACAGCTCAGAGCCCAACTATGCGCCATGGTTCCACATCGTCGCCAAGACGTATTGACGCAGATACAGTCTATCATTCAGCATGCAGCCATGATCAACGATGAACGATCATTACCGATTTCATTCTTACCTGAAGCACCCCAGCCGGTACGCACCCACACTTCCTATATGCGAAGCAACCTAAAGATGTAAGACTGACATCCTTTGGCTGTCACCTTCATTCAGACACTACTCTATGATATGGTCATACAGACCCAAAATTCCACCCATGACGAAGTAGGGCCAGCGCTTGAGGAAGGCTATCCAGTAAGCAAATAAACAATATGTCGACTCGCTAGCGCATACTTATAATATCATCAGTATCCTTAGGGTGACAGCCTTCTCGAAGCGATGGAAGTTACCACCTCCACCTTCAACGTCGAAGACCTTATCATAACTCAGCCCACGCTTCAGGCTCCCCAACCGATGGACACAGCCAACCAATCGGCTCCTGACCATGTAACAACCTATCTCTCACCTGCTTCACCACCTCAAATCTCACTTGTCAGCCAAAACCCCGCAGAACCACTATCTCATGCAGCCACAACCGTGGCACCCCTACCATCGCCACCCGCTGCATTCGTCCCGTCGGATCCTGGTAATACACCGTCATCATTAAGTGAACCTACAAAACCTTCAACTTCCAGCCCACCACTCACACGTAAACGAGCGCTCGAGGCTGCGTTATCACAAAAGCCCAATCTGATCAATCCCAATCTACCCGCGCTCATGGCAAAGTACCGTCTTCATAGTTGGCTGGAACCTTTCGTGATCGACATCAGAGAGGTGAAAGGTGATGGGCACTGCGGCTTCCGAGCCATCGCCATATCAATTGGCAAGTCCCAGGACAAATGGCAAAGTATTCGACAACAGATGGCGGATACAGTTACCAATATGGAGGACGACCGCCCCTTACCTGAGAATCGAGCTGATGCCCTGGCACGTCTTGCTATAACCAAACCCAACGTTGTAACCGACCAACAGCATTGGCTTGGTATGCCAAGCTGGGGTGGGGTAATAGCAAATGCTTTCAATCGGCCGGTCTTGTACTATGAGCCTGGCTCTTATAGTCAGATTGTGTTTCCCTACTCCACCGCATACAACATGAACCCTCCTATTGTACTTGCGTTCGCGGATCATCACTTCACCTCTCTATTGCTCGATTTCACTCGCCCCAACTTCCCAGCTCCACGTCTCTGTGCAACATGGCGACGCTTTCACACACCCAAGGCCTCAGGTTGGTCCGATGCTTGGCAACCGCTCATAGATTCACATGCCGAGTTCTTGAAGAGTCTTAATAAAAATCGACGCAAGAAAAAAAATCCGATCTGTATCCATGTATCCTAATTGATGAAGAGTTACACTCGATTATTGATTGTGACAATAATATGTATTCTGCTTTCTAATCATGATTTCAAATTGCTAAACCTCCATGATTTCAAATGGCTAAACCGTGGCTTTGATGGTAATGGGCATCATCCACAGTCCACATGTTCTGAAACCCTTAGCTTTGAGCAATCTACCCTTGAGCCACACACAGAAAAAATTCGCGAGAAATTTTGCGATTTCCTATATTCCTTACCTTAGCATAAGTTACAAACTCGTGTGGCTCAATCATGTAGGGGCCATTATTGAGTTGACATGTTGTTATTATACGGCCCGACCCGAAAGAGCGCTTTGACCCGATCTGTATAACTTCAAACCCCACTGAAGCTGTACACTCATTGTTAAACTAACACTCTCACATCACTTACTTCATACATCACCTACTTTGTACTGATCGATTACATCAAGCATTACTCAGATGGCACAACTCAAATGTTATGAACCTACCGGATCTTTGGTCGTCAGCTGGTTTATCTATCAGTTCAGATGGGCCAACTCGAACTGATAGATAACGGTGCTTTGGTCGTCAGCTGGTTTATCTATCAGTTCAGATGGGCCAACTCGAACTGATAGATAACGGTGCTTTGGTCGTCAGCTGGATTATCTATACGTACTGTTTTGGAAGATTGAATCCGTATTGGTATGCTCATTTATTTCCCGATTAGGACAATTTGGAATATAGTCATCGCAACTGACCTTGATCTCCCACCGCCTTATTCATTTCAGCTCATCTATTTCCCGTTTGGGGAATCCATACGCCAACGGTGGCTCCTTAAGTTAGATAAGTATTATTTCATCGATGGAGCTGTTAGAAACAAACAAGCTTACAACCTCCTTTTTCGTTCCATAATGCCATCGCTTCGCATCATCAAAGGGAAAGGGGTGAATAATCGCAGTAAGGAACCCAAGCCTACTACACCCTTGCAACGGCAACTAGTTCAGAACCGCAAACGAGATTTGGAGCATGCGGAGGCTTCACATGCTGCCCTTACCAACATGCTCAACCAGGAACAGGAAGCACGGCAGCATCCTGGTGAAATGCTTGCAGAAAATATCCCCGCTGGCCCCGATCCTTTGGACGATGTAGGTGAAGTGGAAGACGATATTGACGTAAATCGATTTATGCTGGCTGGTGAACCCCCTGAGAACTTTGGCGATGTAGACGACCCGATATTAGCCGCTTTGCGAAGAGAAACACACCTAGCTGATTGCCTGGCCCACGAGAAACAATGGTCTTGGCAGTACGCTATTATGTTACCAACGTTCCTTCGAGCCAGGCTAGAAACCTCAAATTGGGGAAACCAACTCAAATGGAATGAAGACTTACGACCTCCGTGCAATTGCACAATGAGGACTGAACGAGACGTTGACCTGGTTGATCTACTGTGTGAGTTAGGTACCATGGGTGCGGGTGCAATTTTAGCTGGGCCACTTTTTCACATTCATACACCTAATTGATGCACCTTTCTCATCTTAGCCAGACGCCGAATTAAAGTATCTTTCTGCAAGACATGTGATCTTTCTGACCCGCAAAGGCTGCTGCAGATGGGTTATCTCGCTGCATCACCTTCACAGCCGCGAACAGCTTTCTCGCTGCGCCTGATGGTGCACCATCACTCTCAGTGGGTTCGTTTTGCTGTGCCAAACGCAGGTTACTGTGGCGCCCTAGACGATGTGCTCAACAACAGTAGTCCTGAGATACTGACATCTAAAGGCCTGGTAAGAATCGATTTATGCAATACATTAGTTGTGTTCATGTCAGTTACTAACAATCAACTTGGTTATCTGATAGCCGCGAGATTGGCGACAGCCTTTCACGGTGGCCATCGATGCCTTTCGTGCTATAAATCTCCAAATCCGAGAGTTGGAAGATCAACAGCTGCAGCTATGCGAACTCGACAAGCTAGCGGCCAACTGTGCCAAATGCTTTGGACCGCCCGTCGGCCGTGTCAGACCTGAGGAGCCACACGTTGTGGTGTGCCTGGATGGTAACTTTCAGCATAAACGACATGCGCGCGCGAGTGTTCCCATACCTGGCTCGCTCCCTCCTCGACCATCAATTTTTCTTGATCCGAAATTGGTGGATGCGAAGGAACGCCTCTTGAAGGGACTCCCTGACTTAGAACTCGAAGGAGTAAGTGTACTTCTTTTTTTCTCGGCATATACTTACTAGCAACTGAAATCTTAATCCATTATGTTGCTTCATAGGACCCATGTACAGAAGCGCATACCACCGCCAACGATGTGAGAGGGCGAGGGCATTTTAAGAACATGGATGAGTCAGGATTGTTGGGTATGGCTTGTCGACATGACCACGTCCTCAAGTTCATCAATCTGATTCAAAGCGGTGAGAAGCAGGTCCTTTTCTTTTTATGCGGTTGAAATTAACTTCGGCTAACCATTATATGACTTTCAGAAATCACAACGCACTAGCTCTCATAGAGTGGTTGCTCGGCTTACTCAAAAACGACCGTGATGGAACAACCACGGTTGGTATCCTATACGATATAGGTTGTAATCTAGACAAAACCATTAAGAAGGTAATCCACCCATGACTCTCACATTTAGCAACATGCTGACTACCGCCTCTATCCACTAGTCCCAAGTGTTCACGGATCCAAATTATGCTAAGCAGGTCAAAATTGGAACTGCTCTATTCCACGCTTACACTCACAATTGGGGCTGTCAGCTGGAATATAACCCTTGCCTCAATGGAGGGTGGGGGAAAAGTAATGGAGAGGGACTTGAGCGAGTGTGGTTCAGTTTATCTCCTCTCATACGGCTGCTCCAATATGCTACTAAGCACCGTCGTATGGTCAGCCTCCACCTGTGGACCAACCATCGCAATGAGGAATTGCGAAAAAAAGCTGGTAAGTTCTTTTAATCAAAAGTTATATATGTATCTTCTATGTACACGTTCCTCCTAATTATTACCTATGGCATTAATTACCGCAGTGTCCTTCATGCTTGGCCAAACAAAGAAATACCAAGCAGAGCTACTTGCATGTAAAGCTTCTCTGATGAACCATGTTCAGAGAAACCCGGCGCATACATCAGAGTACTTTCAGACCCAGTGGGATCGACAGCGCGCACTGCATCTTAAAGCCATCAGCGTAAAGACAAAGGAGAAAAGAGAACGCCTTGGGGTCTTACTCACACTTGAGGAGGACCTTTTGGAAGCGAGGCAAGTACCCTTTCCTCCCTGACTGAACCGCTCTAGTATTGTCATCCTAACGTTGTTTGATCAGGCGGAAGATGGTAGCCATGAATGCAGCTAATGCCCCTATTCGAACTGCGGAACAGCGACACGAACTGTTGGACCTGCCAGCGTCCCTGGTGGCTCTCGAAGAACAAATTCAAGCAGTTGCTGACGAACTTGGCAACGCAGAACTACTTGTAGCGCGACGAGGGACCGGTAAGTGTTATGTATGATATATATCCGGCAATTCATTTCACTCACTCACTAAGCCCGCTGTGAACACCATTAGATGTTAGACTTAAGGCCAATTTCACTGTCCAGGTCGCCTTAGGTTCCTTGTACGAGGCTGCAGTTGATGTGATTCAGCAAAAGGCTGACGCGGCATTGAAAACTGGTACCTCACGTTCATCTGTTTCACCCATATGATTAATGCGTGGTTTCACTAATGATGAATATATATACGTTAAACTAGGTGCTACGCAGCAGCCACGTAACGAACAACTGCGAAAGAAGAAGAGAGAACAACTTAAAAATAAACTAGATACTTATTTGAGGCATGCTGGTAGATACAATACACGTTACCGTCCAGCACAGCGACTAGCTGAACCAACTTTGGACGAAGTAATAGCGATGGATCTCCTAGATCCTTTTTGGGACGAGGTAGCTCTTAATCATCTTGATGAGCCTTGGGCTTCTTGCCAGAGTACAAAGGATGGAATAATAGCCCTTCGTAATCATATGGCCTCCGAAGAAGAGCTCCGACGTTTGGGCCGCGAAGTCCGGCAGCTCATGGGATGGGCGCTTGACTATCAAGTGCGTGTGGATAGGTCAAAGCCCAATGAAGCTATAGGTAGGCAGCACCTATCACTCGAGCTCCGTCAACCTCTAAGCTCTAATGAAATCGGTGTTTTCTTTATTTTCGATGCAGGAGGGGTGCGAATGGCCGAGTGGAAGTCCGTCCACTCTGGCATTGCTAAAAGGACGTATCGTTTATGGAGCTTTTGGGATCTAGGTTTGCAAGAGGTTGTACAATCAACAGGGGATTACGTCGAAGGTACTCCAGAAGATGATAATCTATTGCTCCTTGGGTGGCAGCAAATGCGCGCTCGAACTTTAGGAACAGCAATTTGTTGGAGTAAATTGAGTCTGTCAAGAACTTGTCGTGATGTATATTCACAAAGTACTTTCTCTCGAAGTCGAAGGTTATATGTATTCAAGATATTCATGATGTGCTTTAACTCGGAGTTAACTGAGTATGTCTCGAAAGCTTATTGATCTTCATAGTGATCTAATTCAGTGGTCGGAGTAAGTCAAAGGAGGAGTGAAGGAGTGTTTGCGGATGTAATTTTTAGTTGAATGTTCAGTTTTTCTTATACGTGTTTTTCTTCTTATATATGTATGTTCCTCTTTCCACCTTCAGAATCTTTTTCTCTCATCGAAGAAAAAGATTCTAAAGGTAAGGTCTTTTTGTGTTCTCCTTTATCAATTAAATACTGGTATTAAATAAATGAGTATCTTTGTCTTTTTGTGTGTTACATTGTTAGTTTCATCTTACTCTTCGTTCAGGTCTGTTGAGTTTCATACTCCGTCGTCTTTTAAGTCATCAGCCTGTGTCTCGTCAACACAGTAGCTGATAGTTATATTTTATCACCTTTGTCAAAGGTTTGTGTGGTTGTTTTCTTTTCATGATATCATCAAAGAAAAAGATTCTAAAGTTTCATCTTACTCTTCGTTCAGGTCTGTTGAGTTTCGTACTCCGTCGTCTTTTAAGTCATCAGCCTGTGTCTCGTCAACACAGTAGCTGATAGTTATATTTTATCACCTTTGTCAAAGGTCTGTTGAGTTTCGTACTCCGTCGTCTTTTAAGTCATCAGCCTGTGTCTTGTCAACACAGTAGCTGATAGTTATATTTTATCACCTTTGTCAAAAGTTTCTGTCACAGTTTCGTAATCTTACACAATTGACATACTGGGCCTTCCGATATTGTGGGAAAGAGAGGAGGGAGATGAGGAGGAGGAGGAGGCCGAAGACGACTTC